ACACACACACACACACACACACACACACACACACACACACACACACACACAATCAAACAAACAAACAAACAAGCAAACAAACCAACCAAAAACAAAAGACAGGAAAACACTAAACAAGACAAAACTCTCGAAAACTCATGTATAGTCGTTGTGATATATCTTTTATTGAATGCTATTCTGTTCTTATTCAGGTTCTGCGTCTGCTGACATTGGTCTTCACAATATTTATTAGAATACTGACTTGTATGCATGTACGAGTATCATGGATGGCCGATTAAAAAATATGTGCGTGAATACTGATTATCAGAGAAGTAGAACAAAATATGTATTTTTTTTCTCCAGAATATTGTTATTATCAATCAGAATTTCTCAAAATATCGGATTAAGTATTCTTTTAACAAATCATTATAGTACGACAGGTAATAATTGGTCGCTTTTACTTTTAAGGACAGGCGGGCTTACCCAGATTTTGGGGGTTTCCAGAAATCTTGACCTACACCAAAAGTGGAATATTGCCCTACCTATAAGAGAAGGGTTTTTTTTTCTTTGTTGTATATATTTGCTTTGTTATAGAGAAAAACTCTCCTAGTCTTTCACAGAAACTGAACAAGGGGCAAAAACTTTACCTTCGATTTTCTCAAAACAGTACTTTTTGGGGATAGCCCCCTTTTGCTTAAAAGCGACCTATTGAGGCTGTTAATAAAATATAATTGATGAAGCGGATATGCGGTTTGAGTAACGATTCACATAGAATCACGTTGTATGAACAAACAAGATACTTGAGGCTGGAACCACTGTATGTAAAACGTAGATCTCACGTTCGTAACATAAGTAGCCTCTCTACTATCGGAGATACTCCCTCTGGTTGTTTTTTCCAAGGTGCAAGTGCCGTAAAACGCTCACTGAAACAAATGTTCTTTCCATATTCTGGATCGTGCACTTTGATGCATTTCCAGTTGACAATGGAAAGAACCATTTGAGCCAAATGAAGTGCAAGGATAATGTCACAACGCATTTTTTCAAAACCCGAAAATTTCACGGTCAAATAATTATAGATAGAAAGACGCCCCATGAAAAGGGGTTTCTCCACTGTAAAAACGCTACTTGACTTAATTAGGCATAATACCTTTTTTTTTTGGGTCATAAGACTGCAGAGCGAGACTGTAGTGTTTTCCCTTTCACTTGGGCCAGATCGTGCTGCTCATAGTGCAAGTGTTTCTCAGGTACGTTTTTAGTTTTACGTAGATAGCATAAAAAATCTATTTATAACCTCTTTGAGAGAGCGAAGAGCGATGGCCATAACAAAACGCAGTCCAGTATAAAAGTAATTTTATGGTGCTTCCTGACGACTACGCATACGTGCTGTCTGTTGGAGGGTGGTTGGCGTGTGCTCTGATGTGGTTTCCTCCTTCTTTCCCGTCAAGCATCTGTCGTCCTTATCTTTCCTTTTTCTTCTTTTCCCCCCTCTTATTTAATGCTATTGTAACACCTCTAATGTTCGGCACTTCATCGTCCTCAAGTGTCGTATCTGCGGCAGAAATTGGCGATCATGGTTCTCGATTCATTCCTTTGCTCGGATGCTCTTAAAAGCTGCGTTAGCCTGATCTTTCCCGTAACTCATCTGCTTAGGTTCTCTAGCTAGGTTGCTGTGGGTCTACCCCTGCCTCGTTTTCCTTCAATTTTGCCCGTGAGAGCTAGATGTTCAGGACCTTTATGTCTATTCAGGTATCCCAAGAACTACATTTGTCTTTTTCCTGGTTGTTTTTCGGCACTTATATGATTAATTTCGGTTGCAAGTGCCTTAAAACGCTTTAAAAAAATCTAAAACTGAACTAGAGCTGTATGTTGATGATTTTGTTCCTACTTTAAGTAACAAACAACTATAACAGTATCATAAAAAGTAAATTTTCATATCAGTCGTTATGAATATGGAAAAGATATACATGTATTATTATAATTTCTACAACTATGATAAGACAGAAAATTCCTTTGACTACAGTTTACATTCAAGTTCTGATTTTGACTTAATACATTTTGGCTTAAACAGCATGGCGTAGGTTTTGTAAAACTTTGTGGAAATAGTGACGTAGATGAGGAAATTCGCCGACGATTTCGTCACAGTGAGTAGGTCGTACATTATCTCCAGGAGCAGGAACAAATTGGTAACATTCCCATTGACCTGGATCAAATCAGGACGAATGACGTAGAAGATGGAGGGCCCCAGCAGAGGGAGCCCGGCACCCAGGTAGACCAGACACACAAACAGGAGCATCTTCTCCACACGGACGTCAGATATACCCCTGCTTTTCTTGGACGTCATTTCCTTACGCATTTTACTTGCGGCTCGAAGTTTGACGGCGATGCACACAGAGCAGGTGAGAATCACCAGCATGTGGATTGGTCCTTTGAGGTAACCTCGAAACAAGTCTAAAGTGGACAAAGCTTCCCAGTGCGACAGGCCGTACTCTGAGATTCTTGCTTGTCCGACCGTTATATTCAGTAAAGGGTCAGTCTTCCAGCTGAAGCTGTATACAGGGAAGAAAGGAATAGTTAGCACTATCCAGAGGGAGGGCAGAAGCGCGAGATAGACGAAACTTGTGCGAAGTGAGCACAGTATACGCGCTTTAAGCGGGAAATACACAGCCGTTAGTCTTCTCATGGAAATGAACACGATGAGTGCGCATGAGATGTGACTGAACAGTCTTGTCACCGTTAATAAGTAAACGGCCTGAAATGCGTGGAAAATCTGGCCTGCCACTGGGTTGAAGTAAGACACGATACATCCGGCTCTTCTGGCGGCCGTCAGCGAGACATAGAGGAGGTCACTGACGGACAGAGACATCAGGACGGCGTTGGTTGAGTCACGCAGCCCGTGGTGGACCAAGATGATGATGTTCAAGATGTTGCCTACCGTGCCGAACAGCCCGATTGACGTGATGACAAAGCAACTGAGGATGGTGTCGACGACGTCGAATACGCTCTCGCTGACAAGTTCTTTATCTTCTTCAGTGGTCTCGGGCAATGTGTAGTCATTGTCTGTGTCATTTAGATTGGTAAATAGATTGCTGTCCCAATCTTCCATTATTAAACACAATTTGTTACAAACTCTATAAGTTGAACATGCGCGAATAGGCACCAGAAAGTTATAGAACTTTTCATTAAAGAAAATGTCGGACTTGTGTTCGTCTAAATAATACTATTTGACATAGAAAAATGTAATTTTGAACAAAAGCAAAATATACATAAACGTACTCGCTATACAATAGGGTGTACATTTTCCAGCTATAAGGCAGCAGGAATGCGCAATTGAGAATACTGTCTCATTGAACTGAAAGACGTGATTATAAAGGTTAAGATATTTCGAAGGAAGATCGGCTGTTTTCACAATGTTCTTTTATTGTAAAGCAATATCTTAACTAATTAATCTGGAGGAAAGGAAAGACACAAAATGTAGGCTAAAATATAAGTGGTCCTTAAACAGTTTGCTCTTCTGTCATTTAATAACAGCTTATTTTCTGATAATGATAGAGATGGGTAACCTCAGTATTTCTCATTACTTTGTATTGCCAAGGGGGAATAATCTCAGAAAATTGTCTTTAATCGCTTAATGGGTTGTTGTAACTTAAGGTAAAGTGCAAAGTATCGAGCTTCGGGAGAGAAAGATCGTGACACTTCACACAAGATAGTTCTCACACCTGTTATTACCTCAAGTAAACAGCAATAAGTGCAGGCAATGACATTATCGGTCGGTCGATGACAAGTCTCCCAACACTGCGCTATAATTGTCACAAGAACACAAACGCCAATCAGAACGATTGGAGCCATTGACAGCAAGTCTAAAGGCGGGAATAAAAATATTTTGATCAATGGACACTGTGACACCTTTAGGGTCTCATGAATAATTGTTATGAATAATTATAATGCAGTTAGGAGATTTAATTGTTCAAACACAGCGACTAGACAGAGGAAAGGGAAAATACTAAACGTTTCTTTTGTCGAAATCACCCGTGCTCATAAAAAAGTTTTGATGATCGAAAGGAAATGTCTTACTTCATCAGCAATTGAATTATTTAATTTCTTTTCCAGTAAACACTTCTTATGCTGAATTATCGGATAGGCCCCATTCCTTTCTCTCCACGTTGTATCCGCGTCTATAAGTCCAATTATCTTAAAACGCCCTGGAGCTATTAACATTTTTTTTGCCCTCTTTACGTGCGTGCTTATCCTACAAACCGCGGCTTTTCGGTTCCTTTAAAAAGCAAGAATATGATTTAAAACTTCTCATTCGCCTCCACATGAGTGATAGATTAACGTCCTTATTCTAGTTAACCGCTTTTGTGAATTTTGTGTTCGTTTTATCATCACATTCTATAAATCCAGCGTTGATGCAGTCAGCTACCAGGAGTTTTGAGGGAACTCGCTAAAGTCATTAAACATCGCCCAACTGAGCAAGATCTAGTTCTTAGTAGTAGTTCTTAGTAGTAGTTCTTAGTAGTAGTTCTTAGTAGTAGTTCTTACGCACCATCAGTTTCCGAAAACTTAATAATATTTCGGTTTTGTTTGGTCTTAGGCTGGGCGAGTCTTTGTGCGATATTGGCGCTCGACGTAAGCAAGTCTATGTACTACTATTTTTTTTTCTAAACTTGAAACAACAACAGCAACAACAACAACAACAACAACAACAACAACAACAACAACAACAACAACAACCCAAAAACAGCTAAAAACCGCTCAACTGACAGAAGTAAGAAAACCTTTGATCGTCAATCACACGTACGAGAAAATTCATTGTTAACTACTTCTCTTTTCTTCAGGGCAATATTTATTACAGAATCACGAATAATGTGTTTTTTTAATCACGTCAATCGTCAGGTGAGATGCTAGACAAATGAGAGGCACTTCCAGTAATTTTTGACATGATTCTTAACCAAAGTGTTCTATACTTAACTATTATGCGTGCATTAACTGCTTAGAGTTTGATTTTCACCCCCTGAATCTGCTGCTTGGTAATCTATTGTCTGAGTATCTCCAACATTCACAATGTAAAAGAAAATACATATACCCAAACAATTGACCGTCTTGTAATTTGAACAATCAATTCAGGCAGTTTGGATGTTTTTGCTAAACTTTTGAGGATACAGTAACTCCTAGATATTGTTGAAAGAGGTATCAAACGCGACAACGATCAGAGATCGTTGCCGTAATGGGGTAATATTGTCTCTGCAAAATAAGTGAAGACGCGTTTACGAATAATTATAATGCAGTTAATTGAAAGAGGAACAACGGAACAAAGTACGAGATAACAGTGAGACAGGACAGCATAGACAAGCTAATATTGTGGGCACAGTTCCGCCTCTACTAACCTTTGAGTTTGCGTTATGTCGATTTGTTAAAGTCTAGTTTAGGTTTCTCCATTCTTCATATAAATTAATGCCACGTACTTAATTAATGAGTTCCAAAAAGACCTCAACTAGACCTTTGCCTATTGGTGTACAACATTTTAAGGGTTGCCGTAGTGGAGAATATGGCAGATTCAAGTAAGAAAATAAATAAGTTTATCAGTGTTAAAGCCATTGGCCCAGATCACATCATATAAAACACTCATTTGATTTTTAAAAATCCGTAATGAAAAAGTACAAGTTGTGCCCATAGCTCTTATCATGGGTCAAACATTGCATATTTCTGTCACTGGGCCGAGTCAAGCAGGCAGGATGTAACATTTTCCTTTGATGGACAAAATTTTGACAATAGAAAATACAATGATATTCATATTTAATATCATGATGTTGCAGCTCTCACACAAGGGTGGATCTATTCATTTCCACCTATAAATATTGTTATTTAAATGAAGGCTATGAGTTTTTAACAAGGATATGACTCTCTGTTCCAATACCGTGTGAGGTTGATGATGTACTCAGCTGTTTCTTGAAACGGAATTGTAAGAATTCAAGAAAGTCGGACAATGTGTACGTAGTTTCGCCGATATGGGCTGGAGAACCAGGCTGGTGGTCAGGCATGCTAGGTATTTATTATTTAACACGTTGGTGCATAAAAAAATTAAGATGGCGCTGATTTCTCTCGGAAGAGCCATTATGAACGGAGGAATTCGCAAATATCAACAGAAAACAAACACAAGAGAGACGTTTGCTTCTCCTCGACACCGGTGCAAAGTAACACAGGCCAGAAAGAGTAAAAGCGAAAAGTAAAGTAAACAGAAAATCATTCCAAAATTTCACAGTCGGCGGACAGATCCACTCATTGTGTCAGAAATTGGAGATGCCTGTAGTAGTCTAACAAATTTCACTTCTCGTGACTGTGTAATGCAAATTTGTAGTCCCAGGCTAGTGGAAACATTCATTTCTAAAAGACTTGTGGGTGTGGTCAATGGCTGAAGGTAAACAACCTCAATTTACCATTATGATTCAATACCCTTAGATTTGAATCCACTAACTGCTTCAAAGTAAGAGATTACCCTAGCAGATGTGTTTTTAACTTGTTTTTTTCATATCTCAGTCCCACTCGTTTCAAAAACTCATCTTCTCACACAAAATCATGTTCCAGAAACATCCAAGTCGGTTGAAACATCTTTCTAAGATTTTATGTAGAGCTGGTGCTGACATGCAAACTGAAAAACTTAAGGTCTTCTTCATTATTGCCAGTTTCCAAACAGCGCAATGCCACAGTTAGCCACTCATGTACACTTATTGCATTCCTCATATCAGTGCATCGTCAGTTCGATTTTTGCTCTGACGTTTTCTAGTACTTTGAAATACATTTATGTTCTTACGGATAAACTTTGGACATCTGAACGATACAATCTCAGCTCTTGCATTGTTATGACGAGTGAAGGTTGATTTCTCTTCAGCAACAACTGTGTCGCCCAGAAAGACTTAATATTATTATGGAGCTTTTTCATCTGTTTTCTAAGAAGCTCATACTGTGCTGCTAAAATGTCAGGTAACAGTGCGTCCATTTTTGTGCGTGTGATGGAAATTTCTGCAAACTTCAACATGATAATGGCAAGGATGAAACTAGTGGTGTAAATGCCCACTTTGTATCAGTGATTGTCTTTTGGACAAAACGCCTCATTGCAGATCATGAGGTGTGAGAAAGCTGTCAGATACATGCGCAGACACTTGAAGAAGACATCACCTAGTTCCAAGAGCGTAAGGAAGTATAGATACAATACCGAAACACGAAGGGGAAAAATGAACACATAATATCTTAAAGAAAACGGAGAAAATTCGAAATATTAAAAGGGAAAAATGACTTTGTTTGCGTTTAGAGAGAGGAGTGTAACCTTTTCCAACAGCCATGTCAATGTCTGGTCAATACAGCAGTCATCTTTCACATGGAGAGAGCTGTCGAGTGCTTCACGAGAACAGAACCCCTTTTGGGAGCATCTGAGAGGCATACTGTAAGATCTATATAACGTATACTTCCACAGAACAAAATGCAAAGTGCGGGGCAACACACAAGATTTCAATCCAGGATACCATTCAAGAAAAATAGTTAAGGTAACAGATATTTCAAGAGAATTTTTTACTATTAAACTGTTATAATCAATCATTTGGATGAACGATGAAAGCTGGCTTTGTCACGGAATTTGAGCCCTTCGAGGCTGTGATAGTCGAAGCTGGCGAACTGGGGACACACTTTCCTCTGTGTTTTATCCATCCGTGTTGACGTTTTGTCCTGTACGCCACAGAGCATAATAATTTGTCCTCAAACACACAGATGCTAATTGCTGTTTTTGTATCACATAGCATTGCGATCGTATTAAGATCATTGTACCAACAGTATCCTACTGATCTTACCCTTAATTAAGTGTTGTAAGATACTTCAAGTTTACTACTGCTCAACATTTAAAAGAAAGCTGCACCTAGAATTAAGCTCCAACTTCCCGAAGAGTGAGACAGCTGTCATTAAAAAACACAAAGTGAATGGTGCTCTCAAAGTTTTAGGGCATATTACCTTTGTGTTTTCTTTACAATGGACGCTACACAGTCAAGTGCGCTTAATGAGAAAGAAGGACAGCTTGTAAGGAGTGAATGAGGGTGATAAGAACATTTCTCCCAAAAG